TTTTAAACTACCAAAAATTGAAGAGGCAGGAGCACCCCCAAACTCTGGAATTGTTTGACCTGTAGAATGCGTGAAGGCTGCACTGCCCAAGAACCCAGGGCTGACCCTGCAGCACCGACCACCTTCTACCCTAGGAATGTGAAAACTAGGCTGTCCACTGGAGAGACAGAGGCCACCTACAGGAGAAGCACCCAGCCCACAGCTACATCCACCCCCACACCTGTGGGCAGCCTGGCCCTGGTACAGAGGGAGCTAGCCTAGGAATGTGAGCAGGCTCCTTCTTGTGGGGAGGAATAATCTGTCTCTGGTGCTGGGCAGAAGAGCTCAGGAGCATTGAGAGAAAAAAAACAAAAAACATTTGAAGTCATCCACAACTCCTCCAATTGTCCTGTCATTAAGAGGAGAATCCGAAATCCCTGGCTGAAAGCAACTCCAACTGTGATGCAGGTAGATGAGGCCAGCATTAGGCTCCAGCCCAACTGACCTGCTGTGGACAGCTGCATGCAACAGCAGGCACAGCTGCAGAGGACCCACCACCATGCCACAGCCTCTCAGCAAGAAATGAGACATCATTCACTCTGAGGGTCAGGGGCTCTATTATGCAGTAATTGATCATGGAAGCCTCCATCCATAAATCCCTCTGCACCTCTCCCTTGAGGTGGAATGTGAGTTGCACACTGTCCCCTGCACCTGCTTCAGTAGGTCAGAAAGCACAGCTCTGAGAACCTGCAGAGCTGTAGAAAGGGCACTTCATAGATACCAGGCTGAGCCTCCTGCAGGGAGCAGGTGTCTGCACCAGGGCATGGTCTGGAGCACACAGGGGACATTTCTGCTTGGGCTCAGTCACTGTGAGAGGCTGGCTAAAATGCTGCTGACAGTAAAACACCCCAACATCTTCAGCTTCCAATCCATGGATGAACAGGGAGAAGTCAAAACCAGAACCACTTGCCCGAATCCGGGAAGGGGTTTCAGCAGGCCTGGCAGATGCCCCAAAGATGAGCAGCCTGGGAGCCTCCTGGGGTCTCTGTTGGTACCAGGACATGGAGGTACCTACTGCCATGCTGTTTCTACAGGTGATGGAGACAAAGTCACCTTGAGAGGCTGCCAGGGTCTCTGGGGACTGAGTCAGTGTGATCTTCCCCCTGCAGCCTACAAGAACACAGCATCCAGGGTGCACCATGAGTTACTTCTCTCAAAGAATTTTTAGAAAAACAGTGCCCCACCCTCCTCAGAGAGGCCCAAGACAGGTTCAAAGCTCCCTGCCTGTGCATCTCTGTCACCATGGGGCTTGGCCTCCGGTTTCCAGTAGTGAAAACAACTCGCCATATTACACTGCCATTTCCAAAGCCCACTGACAAACAGTATCTCTAGGCCTACAGCTAAATTCCAGCTTAATATATTCCACCTGAATGTGCTTACCCTGAAACCCCACCACCAAGAGGCAGAGGAGCTGGATCAGAAGGCTCGTCTTGCAGTGTCCACAGAACCTGCTGCTCTGGACCCAAGGACAAGGCGGGGGTGCTGGGCACCTGTTGTAAGTCCATGTTCTCTAGAATTGGCACTCATGTTCAGGGGTTAAATAGGCACAGCTGGCCTTGGTGTTCATTTGCATACCCAATGGCCTGAGACAGAGCTACTCTCCAGGATCCCCCAGAGCTGGCAGGCTCTCTCCACCTGCCCCTCTCTGGAGGTGGCCAGGGGATGCATGAGCCTCTGGTTTCTTCAAGGCTGCACTGAGTGGGACAAACGTGCTGCCAGCTCCCAGGATCCTCTTGAGAAAATAGAATGAGGTCACCCAGAGCCTGCAGGACACCTGCAGAGAGGTCCCTGTGCACTCTGTTACCATGACAGTGAGGGGTAGCTCTGCAGGTTCTCCAAGTAGATGCCAAGCTGACAGAAGGCCATCAACTAGGTGTCCTGGGAGAACTGGGCTCACTCACCTTTTTCATCACTGAACTCTGTGAAGAGAGAATGTGATGAGTCCCTGAACTTCACCTTGAGTGGAATGAAGGAAGAAGTAAGTGGGTGCCTGGATCTTCAGCAGTCCCCAGGATAGCTGAGGGCACAGGAGAGATGGGTGGATAAGTACTGGATTTTTGATTTCCAAACCAGAACCTTTAGACATTATAGTGCTATATTAAAGATTTCCCCCAACTAATGAGATGAGGTAGGATTAGAAATCTGATTCTATTAAAATACTGAAAGCATTTTGTATTACTTCATGAAATTAACTAAGAAAAATACAACCAACATTGTAGTCTTTTTATACTTTGGAAGTGTAGTGACATCGCTTGGCCCACAACATATGTGCCACCTATGAGATGTGTCCCCTTTTAGCCAGGGGTCACCTGTTTCCTCCCTGAGTCCTGAGGGCCACTCAGCCTTTAAGACAATCCAAGGTCCAGGTAGAAACAACCCAGGACTCTCCTCTGTAAGACCACTTCTCCCCCATGGTGGAGGGCCATCCTGGTTGTCTGTCCTCTGTGTGGAAATAGTGACATGGCAGGTCATTCAGCAATTCTTCCTATGTGAGCCCTTCCAGGGTGCAGTCACCCATGGAGAAGTGAGGGTACTGGTAACCTAAAAGAGAGAAGCTGAGGGTGCAGGGATGGAGACACAGTGGTATGAGAACATGGAGACTTGGTTCTTCATCATTCAGGTCGCTGAGAATGGGGCCACCAGGGCAGTTCCTCCCCTACACTGGCCTGACTCATATGGAACATGCCTGGCAGATGTGATAGAGGATATTCACATGGGGAGATGATCCAGAATTCACCAGATGGGCCCTAAGGGTGTTTTCATAAGAGATCAGGAGATCTAACATGGAAGAGGGGAGGCCATGTGAACAGGGACATAGTCACTACAGGAATGTGGCATCAGTCAGGGGAGCTGAAGCCTCCAGAATGTTAAGACAGTGCGGGCTGGTGCAGGAGCCCTGCCACCAGTGTCCTGGGCCTGTCCCATGGAAAAAGACTCAGCCTTCTGTACTCCAAAACCCCAAGCAACTGTCTGCTGTTTTAAGGCAACAGCTTTTTGATACTCTGTTATGACAGCCCTAATTGGCTGACAAAAACACAGTGCTTAGGAAACCCACACTGAAGGGGCTGAGGTCATTTGTAATCTCATTGACTTTTAATGCTGCACATAGTGAATAGAAAGAGGCTTCTCTGGTGGAACAAATGCACATCTGCCCACAGTGTGTATGATTCCAAGCCAGAGCTCGCTTCCCCACAAGTGGAGAAGACAGGCACATGCACACCATAGCCTGGGGTTGTAGCAAAGGGAAGGACTTCACTGCAGATCAACCCTCATGAAACAGGAATACAGCTTACACATACATCCCCCTCTGGCCAGTGCAGTGGGATTCTAGGGGCTATGGGAAGTCCATAATGTCCTGGGTGGTCTTGATTGGATGCAGTTGTATCTTTGAAAGTTTTTTCTATTGTTTTCTGTGTTCTGATTTCATGAGTGGCACCCCAGCTCTTGATTTTAGGGGGCTGAATTACAGTTCTGCATTTAAGGTTCAGTTGGTTTGAGGATTTTGGTTCTTTCAGGCTTCGATTAACCTTAGGTCAGACATCTAGGTGTATCCCAGGGCATGTTCTATAAAACATCACACAAGAGCTACAAATGAAACACTTATTAGGAATGCAATCAGTAGGGGAGAGGGCTTAACTCCACTCTGATTGGAATGATTAGGATGTCAGGGAATGTGGATACTCAGGTGAGGCAGAGAGCAAAGAAACTTGGGGAGGTCAGTGACTGTGGCTGGCATGGCTAAAGCCAGGATTCTGCCTCCTGTGGAGTCCTGGAAACATGGCTCCTATTCCTTTGATGATTCCACTCATGGCAAAGGCACTCAAGTCCTTGAGAGATGCTTCTGAGTTTCAATATGCTTACATTTGCACTGTAGGCCTTAGTGGTGCCCAGGAGGAAGCTTGGCCTAGAACAGGGGCAGGCTCCAGAGAATCAGATGACACTGAGGACTTTCAGTTAAGAATGAAAATGACTAGAAATATTTTATGTAGTGTCTTCATTCTAAGATACTCAAGGGTGCATAAAACAGCCCTGGGGATTTTCTCCAATTTGTGTGTATATCTCATGGTCTATGGTATGGTACAAGTGCAGGCAACCTTGGGATCTTTAGTGTTCCATTCACAGATAAGGGACATTCACAGTATGGGTCATTGCCCAGAGCCACCTTGAGAGAGAGGTGGAGAAGTGGGCTGTCAGAGCTATCCCCAGCCTGCCCCCTGGGATAGCCTGAGACCTTCAGCAGCCTCCTGGTGGAGCAGCAGCTGGGGCAAGATTGATGTCTTAGAGGTGATAGAGGATGCACATGCCCTGAAAACAGCACAGCTAGTGTTAGAGTAGCATCTGTCCAGATGCACCAGGCACAATGGCCAGGACAGTGGGAGCCAGCAGGAGCTGGGAGCAAGGCCTGGTTTGTGTTGCTTCAAGGTTGGGACCCTTTTGGTCTTCAGGAAGAAACTGCAGAGGCTAGAGGTCCTATCTTCTGGGACAGATGAAGGGAAGCTAGAGACATGGTCCATTTTAGGATTCCACTAACCTCTAAGTTAGAAGTAACATGAAAACCCTCAACTATCAACAGCAAGCATGTGTTCACTCCATGTGCTGTGACTCTGATAAGAGACAAAACAGGTGGACAACATCATGTGCAAAGAAACATCACATGTCAAACACTGAGGATGAGAATACTCCTACCTCACGAGTCAGAGAAGCAGGAGAGAGAGGAGCCAGGCAGTTCCATGTCCATGAGGTTGGTCTTGAGTCTGCTCCTGCTCAGGGAAGGTCGAGATTCTAATATAATCTCCAGGGACTGTCATAGGAAAACACATCTCGCTGGTCTCAGTGGCTCAGATAGTAAAGATGTGTCCTCTCAATGTTCTGCAGCCTGAAGGTCCAAAGTCAAGGGGCAGCAGATGACCCCTCGGTCATAGGCTCTCTTCCTAAGGATCCCTTCTTGTCTGTCCTCACAGACTTCTTCTTGTGGCATGAGAGGGATGGAGAGAGCTTCTTGGACAGAGAGCTCCCTGGATGTCTATTCAGAAGGACACAGTTTCTATGGAATGAGCCTCACCTGGATGACCTTGTTTAACCTCCATTCCTTCTTACAGACCACTTCTGCAAACAAATCAACAATGAGGTGAGGCATCAACATATGAATGGGGGCAGTTTTACTAATACTAAAGAAGTGGCCTTAGTGACTAGGTGGAGGGGTCTAAAGGCAGGGCTGGGCATGCTGTCTCAGAGCACTAATACAGAGAGCTTTGTTCCACAGCTCAGCCCCTAGGCAGGTCCTCCACATTCTCCTGGTCACCCAGAGTCCCAATTCAAGCCTGGGGATCTCTCTGTAGATAAGGGACAGTGTCACCATATTACTTACCTACTATTTCCAAGATCAAGCTTCTTTTTGCAAATTATGGTCTCTTTTGACACCTACTGGTTGATGATTGGTATTGCATCTCACAGGGTCAGAGTCTGCTCCCAAGGAGGCTTCCTGGAGTCCCTTCTTTGTTCCTGATGGAGCTCATTCTATTGATTCCATCACCAGAAGGATTCTGTAGAGAACAGAAAATGATCCCTCCTCTGATGCAGACATAAATTGAAGACACAATATTAACAGACCATTTTATATTCAGAAGAGGAAATAGTCCTACGATTGTAAGGGCTGGACACTGTGATCCAGGTGAGATGCCACAGGTGTGGATTTACAAAGGCTCCTGAGGGCTGCAGAGCATACTGTCAGAGGTGGCTGGAACCCTGTTCTCCTGGTCTAGATCTGTCCATGCAGCCCCCTTCCTACCATCCCAGAACCCTTCCAGAGGAGAACTCTGGACCACAGCAGCTATAACACTGAGGAAGGACAGGCTGGGCATCCAGTCTCAGAGCACTACCACAGAGAGCTTCTTCCCACAGCTCTCCATTGGCTGTGGAGGTTTGTATTCTGAGCTGCAGCTACATGAAACACCTTGTTAATCTTTTAGACCAACACTGGCTAACAGAATCTCCTGTCATGATGAAGAAATTTGCATCTGAGCTGTCCCCTGTGGCAGCTGTTAGCCTGGAAGATTCAACACGGGAAAGAACTAAGTGCAAAGGAAATATTCTTTGTAAAATTTAACTGAATCTGAGTTTATAGAGTCACTGTGGTTAGTGTGCTCTGTGTGAGACAGCACAGTTCTAAAAGCAGCATCAGCACAATCTCTGTGGCCAGCAGGATGCTAATTGACAGGCACACTGTCTGCCCCATGCCATGGCAATAGTGATGGACAGTGACATCCTCAGCCTACAAGCTGCTGTGTCAAAGTTGATGTCACAGTCAGACCCATGGTATGTGAACCACAGGGAATCCTAGGAGTAAATGGAAACCTGGTGAGCCAGGCTGTCCCAAGGTCTGTTGGACACTGTCCAAGTACATTTCCCATCTGTATCTGCTACTGTGAGCACCAGGTGTCCCCTCAGGACCATGAGCGAAAGACCACCAGGGTGGTGCTGATGGGAGGTGCTGTGGAACTTGAGGAAGGGACCTTGGTGACCCCAATCTCTTTGTCTTCCTGCTCTGTCTTTGTTTTCTGGTTTCTGAGGTAAGTTATGGGCTTTCTTTCACAACCTCCCATGGTATGCTGTCTCTGCTTAGGGGTCACGATAGTGGGGCCATCTGGCCTTGAACAGGAACCTCCAGAAATGGAGCCAGATGAACCTATCCTACTTGTAAGTTAATTGCTGTGGTGTTTCATTATACTAAGGTAAAATGAAGTGCAGCATAACTGGTGAAACTCAGGGAGAAGGGGCAGGAGCTCTGGAGATTCTTGTGGACACAGCCTCGAAGCTGTGAACTATAGGACTTCTGTCTCTGCCCTGTCCCTGCCTGCCTTTGCAGATATCCTCAGAGAGGGAAGCGGGAGGACTCCCTTTTCCAGCATCCACAGCAGCCTCCATGTTGAGTAGACACAACATGGAGCACACTCTTTCCAGCCACTCTCCTCAGCTGAAGACCTGAGTGAGGAGGATGCTCTACTGACACTGTCCAGAAGAAAATTGAGTGAGTGTCCACCTACATCCTAGACAGCTGAGGCCACTGTATCAGGAGGTTCTGGGGATATGCTCAGTTTTTAGTGTAACAAGCTCCAGGACCTGGCTGAGAATGTGGATTGGAAAGGGTTTCTTTGTGGGCATCACCAGCTGAGCCTCACACACATTTATGCTGTGTTTTTTTCATATTCAAGAGACAACCTTATATCTTTCATAGAGAGAAATACAGAATGCAAAAAAATATGTTGTCTATATCCACTAAAATATAAAATTCATTACAGTATAATTTCTTCTGAACATCCAAATCATCTCAATCACCAGCTGGCTGGGCTGGCCATCTCTACTGGGTTCACCAAGTCTGGCTACATCAGAAACTGAGAATGCAGAGAAAGAAGCACATGTCACACAGAAATACCTTTCTAAATCCAGGATGGCTCTCGATTGAAGGGTCTGTTGAAAAGAGAAAGCTTGCACCTGGGTTCTTTATGTTTATAGGGGGGCACACAAAGGGAGGTTCAATCAAAATTCTTTCCAAATAAGGCAGGAGGTAGGATTCAGAAGGCTGAGCCTGGCTTCCTGGTGTTTGAAGTCAGCTGCTTGACTGACATCTTGGAGGCCACACCCATCCCAGGTGCTGTGTGAGGGTCATGGGCAGAAAAAGGAAAAGGACATGGATTGCTGCAGCACAACCAGAGGCATCATCAGTCAACTCTCATGTCCTCAGTGCTCACAGCTCACACACAGAATTCGGGTGGCCCAGCACATCTACATGGACTTTTCATTTTACAGAAACTGTACTATTAGGGTTGAGACTAGAAACATAAGATTAATATGAGGCCATCAGGTCTATTTTATTATTTCCTTAAGAAGACACGCTTCTTTTTTCTTTTCTTCATTTTAATGTAAAATTTAAGGTGGTCACTTTACTAAAATAAGAAATTGAAAGTTGTATCTTTGAAGTGGCAGATGGTCCAGTAAAACATGTTTGGTGAACTACTCTATCAGAAAAGTTAAAGCACGGAAACTCCTGGAACAGGAGGTAAGGTCCATAAGGGCTTAAGTTCTACCACCTGGTGGATCAAGATACTTGTTCCCTGCATCAGAGGCTGAGGCTCAGAAGGCCAAGATCACCAGAGGAATCACATTGACCTGCACCTGCTGTCAGTCAGACACCTCAGAGACCCTCAGTGCTTCTGTGTGTGCTCAGTCAGGATTCTCCAGAGAAGGAAACCAATGGGAGCCAGAGGACTATGTATGTGGTCACAAGTGTGGGTCATCTTATGAGAATTTCATACACAGTTTTCAGGAGGCTGAGCAGTCCCACAATAAGCAGTGGGCAAGCAGTGGACCCAGGAGACCCAATGGTGGGCTCCAGCCTGATATCAGCAGATTCCAGGTCCATGAAACCCTTGCTTCTGGGCTGGGTCCTTGGCAGAACATCACCAGTGTGGGCCCAGTCAGGCAGCAGGGGTCCTTTCCTACTCCCAGGAAGGTGGGCTGTGTTCTATTAGGCCCAGTTGTGAGGTCCTCCTACATGAGGAAAGGAAGGCTGCTTAACTCAGCCCTCAAATTCAAAGGCTGATATGATACAAAACCTTCATGGGCACACCCAGGAAAGTATAACATCAGATATGTGAGCCCCTTATAACCAAAGCAAGTGGACACAGAAGCCTGACCGTCATAAAGTGAGTGACCATCAACCCAGCTGCTATAAATCTGCCCCTTCAACGTGTCTCTAAGCTACTTCTATCTGGGTCCTTGTCATTGGCTGATGACCTTGTAGTTAGTTTATCAGATGTTGAGCTTTGAAGACGGCACCTGCTGAAGGTCAGTATTGCACAAATGTTGGTTGTCACCACTATAACAGAAGCTCCACAGGGCAGGATGGTGTTGGGTTTTGTGTAAGTGATCAAAAACCTATGCAAATTATCTGAAATGCATTAAATAACTGTTTGTAAGAGTTACTCAGCTCCAGACCATTGCTCTACACATAGAGCAGTATCATGCCCCACATTAAGTTTTTTTTTTTAAATTATTATGATGAGTTAAAAATAACTTTTGATGTTTTAAACATTTTAAGGATACACCTTGTAGCACACCTGGTGTAAATAATGTTGCACAATTATCATAGCTGTCTATCTCTGGAATTTCAGGTCAAGTTTCTTATAAAAGTGGAGTTACTCAGTTGACGTCCTCTTGTGAATGGCTGAGTGCTCCTCACTCACTCTCTGTCTCTAGCTCTCACCCAGGTGTAGTATGTACCAGGATTTTCTTTCTCTCAAGGCTTAGTGATGCTCTGTATAATGTACAAACTGCTGTAGCTGACCTCCTCAGCCACACATGGAATTTTTTTTCTGTTCCCCTTTGGCTGTTGTGGATGATGCTGTGAACATGGGTATAAAATGTGCCCAAGGCCCAGCTTCCCACCTCTGGGGCTTCCTCAGAAGAGCATTTGCAGGAAGCTTTGCTGGTTCTGAGTTCAACACTGCAGGAGCAGCAGGCTGTGTCCACTGTGGCTGGACCCTTATGCTCACAGCCACACCCAAGGCTTCCAAGTAACCTACACCCTGACTAAGCCTGGGGATTAGGTGGAGTTGGAAGAGGTTGTGCTAACACAGGTGCCATGGGATCCCACAGAGTCTACAATCTGAGCTTCCTAAAGATGAGGGATGCTGCACATTGTTCATGTATTTGATAGGAATTTGTGAGTCTTGTGTACTGTTGGATATGCTGCCAACTTAACTGGGTTTGTTATAGAACTGAACCTCTTCACGTATTGTGAGCATCTGTCCTTCACCAAATGCATGACTTATGCTATTTCTCTCAGTCTCTGGGTTCCTTTTCACTCTGTTCACAGTGCACTTAAATGTGGACTTAGTGTGTTTGTGTGTGTGTGTGTGTGTGTGTGT